CGGACATCCTCGGCCTCGGAGTTCAGCGGGCGCAGGGCGACAGGGCGCGCGTCCGTCCGTCCGTCCGTCCGTCCGGCCCCGGCCGTCAGCCCGCGGGGCCGCCCGCGCCCCGACCGCGCTCGAGCCCGGCGCACGGTCGGAGCTCCCCGCCGGCGCCTGCGCACTGGGCGCCCGGGAGGCCCGGCGCGGTGGGGGGCGCGGCGCGGCGGCATCTGGGGAGGGGCCAGGCCCGGCGGGGAGCCCAGGCCGCGCGCCGCGCCCCCGCCGCCCCGCCCCGCCCCGCCCGCCGCCGCCCGGCCCCGCCCCGACGCCACCTGTGGCGCGGCCCGCGGGGCGCCCGAGGCGCGGGGACCGGGGCGCACGTCGCTCGGCGGTCCCAGCTGCCGCGGCCGGGCGGGCGCCGCGAAGTTAGCGCGCGGCTCCGCACGTGCCCCAGCGCCGGGGGCGGCCCGCACCCCGAGGACACCCGGCCCAGGCCCCCCAGCCCCGGGGCCGCCCGTCCTGCCGCTGCCCTAGACCCGAGCCGCTCGCTCCCTCCGGGCGCGCTTTCCTGTGGCGCACACGTGCCGCGGGCCGCGGGGGGCCGCGGGGAAGAAGGTGCGGGGGAGGCTGCGGGGAAGAAGGGCCGCGGGGCGGGGGACCGCGGGGAAGAAGGGGCGGGGGGGGGGGCCGCGGGAAAAAGGGCTGCGCTGGAGCCGCGGGACCCGCCTCCTTCGGGTGAGCCGGGCCGGAGACAGGGCGCGCCCCCCGCGGGCCGCCGCCGCCGCCGCCGCCGCCGGGTCTGCTCTCCGCCGCGCACAGGACCCCAGCGCGGGGGAAGGACTGGAAGCGCCGCGCCGTCCCAGCGACCTGCACAGCCCAGACCCACGGGCCAAGCTCCGACAGACCGCCTGGCAATCCCGGGAACGGGAACGGCCTTCCAAGACCAGACGAGAGCAGGATTCCCAGCCGGGGCCACCTGCTGCGCTGGGCGCTCTCGCTGCGCTCGCCTGCGCGCCTGGGCCTGGGGCGGGCCGGCGCCCCCGGAACCCAGGAACCGGCTGCGAGGCTCCACCTGGGCTGCTGGGAAGCCTAACGGCAGAAAAGCCTAAACAGCTGCTAGGAAACCTGAAGCCCGCAGGATGCTTATAGGGAAATGATAGGGACTAGAATAGGAATCCGGTGATCAAAAATACTCGAGGTGGACAAGCTGGGCTTCTCCAGAAATTCCAAAACCTTTAAACAACACCGCTGCCTCAGCAATACTTCTACTTCATAGAATGGGCCAGCCTTGTTCGTCCATTGCTCTTTATTTTTCCGCCGAATTCTAAATGCTGAGGGGGAGTGGATACAAACTGAATCAAAGAAACCTGTCCACAACTGGATTTTTCTGCAGTGTTTCTAGCATCTTCCAATTTGTCTCTGGTCAAAAAATGACAAATCCTATGTGCCAACCCTCAACCAGAAATCCAGATTCTAGATCAATTTCACTTAAAAATGTACTTCCCTCCTCTCCATATTTGTCCTCATGTTCATCCTTTTGAGATTCATTTGTTCATTCACCCAACAGCAACCACAAAAAAATGACAAAAACGTGCTGAGTGTCTCTTTCCCTCAACATGTGAGCAAAACAGAAAGAACCACAGGACCAGGGGATTTTCAGTCCACAGAGGGGGGTCATTTTAAAAATATCACATGAGACAGGGAGCTTGGTGTTTATTGGGAGGTGAGTCCAAGTGGAGGAGGAGTCCACCACGGAGACAGGGAAAGTTTATCAGACGCATTACCAAGCTGGCCACCCCTGCAGACACGGGTGCTCAACCTGGCTGGAGTCCCTGAAGGAACCATGTGGACTGCACCTCAGCATTGTTTGAGGTTTGGAAGGCAGGACAATCTGTTCATCTGACTTCTCCCAAACCCACAGGTGTTTTCCCACATGCCCACAGCAGGTTCCTCTGGCTGAGCAATGCCGGTACCTCCTAGAGAGGCTGACCAGCAGGGTTTGGGGTTCCAGCCAGTGAGTGCAGCACAGGGCACTTCCGTCAGAGCCCTGGAGATGCACTGGGGTTTGGGGAAGGGGATCAAGGAAGAAGGAAGAGCAGTCATGAAGCTCCAGGGAGATGGAAGGAAGGGCAGGTGGAAGACCCACCCTCGGTGCTATGGATGGTCGGAGTAAGTGGAACATAGCGAGCAAGGGACAGCACAGAACAAACGTGCCTGCAGAACAAGCCTGGGGCTTACATGAGATTTTAAGGACCCCAAGGTGTATCTTGAATTCAATACAATTCGATGTAGGCTTTGAGCACAGAAGTCAGATGTCCTACATAGACCATCATGACATTTGTGGACAAAGACTGTTTTACTTCTCCCTTCCCAAGCTCCATACTTTTCATTTCCTTGTCTTATTACTTGGGCCAGGACTTCTGGTGCATTGTGGGAAGGAGCAGTGGGGGGGGCACCATTAACACAGGGTTAATGTGATGTTAGCTGTAGGGATTTTGTGGGTGCTCTTTATCAAGCTGATGAATTCCCCCTCTGTTCCTAGTCCGATGGAAGTTTTTATCAAGAACACGGGTTGGGTTCTGTCAAATGCCTCTTCTGCAACTATTGATATGCTCATGCAATTTTGTACTTAGCTTGTAACAGTGATGGATTACCTTTGCTAATTCTGAATGGCAGTGAGATTTTTAGGACATTTTGGCTGCAATGAGGAGAAGACTAGAGTGGAGTAGGAGTGAGGAAATGAGAATGGAGGTGGGGAGCTCACCTTAAAATGCCTGGAGGAATTCTGGGGGGATGACGAAGGCCATGGACAAAAGGAACGCTGCCGGGAAAACACCCTTGTTGCGGGTTTTCTAGGCAGGTTATGAGGGGAGAGAGAAGCAGGAGAGGAAGCACAGTGGTCCCATGTCAGGCTCTGCACCTGGGCTGATGGAACCTCTGGGAGGTCACCGAGGGGCAGGTGCACACAGATAAGCCTGTCCTGGACCCCAGGACATGATGTCCTGTGACTTAGGAGCAGGTACAGAGGGTGTGGATGTAGGACACACACTGCAGATGACAAAGTGGAGGCTGACTTTGTCCTCAGTTCTCAGGTTCTTTCAAATTTGGGTGTGAAGGAGATTAAGGATTTAGGGCGGCAGGAAAACCTGTGGTTTCTGCGAAGATTTTGTGATAAAGCCACCAGGTCCAGAGTGGGCTTGAACTCTGGTGGGATGTTGCAGAAGAGAAGGAAAGTTCACAACAAGGCCTCATCGAGGACATTATTCCAGCAAGCATCCCCTCCTTCTCCTGCACCAACGTGTTCTAAATAACCTTATTTATTCAGTATTTAACAAATACTGCCTCCCCCCACAATGCCCCCATCTCCCACATCCCTGTCATTCGGTACCTTTGTTACAACAGTAGCCCACACTGACCCATCGTCATCGGGAGTCTACAGGCAACCCCATTAGGGTTCACTCTTGGTGTTGGATGTTCTGTGGGTTTGGACAAGTGAATGGTTGCCCAGACTCACCAGTCCCTGAACTCTAAAGTCCTAGTCAGCTGTTTAAGGGATGCCTACGATGATGTGACTAGCGAGCCTCTCAAACTTCACACGGCGGGCCCAAGGATGAGCCTCTCGGAGGCTTCCCATCTCCTCTCTGTGACTCCATCCTTCCAGTTTCCGGAAAAACACTGTGGACACGTGCCGCACTTCTCTGCTTCAGAGCCCATACGAGTCAACATGAAAATCCCTTGTTTTGTCGACCAATATATCAGAAATCCGAGAACTGCGTCCTACAACCTCGGATGCTCTCACTCTGATGCTGGCCGCCCAGGTCTCTGTGGGTGCCGGACGCACACTGGTCTCCCGGCTTCCTCAAGGGACTTCTTCAAGAGGTAGGTCACAGAAGTTCAGCCCTCCGCTCCTGCAGCCTGATGATTTTCCAGGGCTCGCTGGGTTGCCATAATCCCCTGGGGGCCCTCGTCCCAACAATGAGGCCTGTTTCGTGCCTGATGGCATCGGTCCCTCGGGCCTCCTTGGTCCTGCTGCAGACACTGTCCACCCAGGACCCTCACGGGGCATCGCCTCCCCTCTGCTGAGTGCTCTTTGCCTGGCTGTCACCGAGCCTTGCTCCCTCTGCTGCCAGTTTGGCCCATGTGACCTTCCTGTGGCACCTCCCTGATCACCCCCCTCCCCAGCTCCTGCGCACCTGACATGCCCTGTGTCTCACTGCAGTCCCTTCCCGTCTCCCATCATCAGACTTCAGACACATCCGCAGCGTCCTGGACGCTGACACGGACAGACGGGGCTCCGGGCAAATGCAGTTCCTGAGAAGGCAATTCAAGAAAGGGAGTAAGGAATCAGTCAAGGCCCAGAGGTGCGGTGGGGTTGGCTGGGGTGCGCAGGGAAGGCCGCAGAGGTGCGGTGGGGTTGGCTGGGGTGCGCAGGGAAGAATCGCACCCGGGGGAAGGGGACCCACGGGGAAGGGGGACAGGGGAGGGCGGTGGTCCTCGCGGTGGCCGCCGGCAGGCTCTCTTCCTCCCTTGGCCCTCACGCCCCAGGTTCTGGGGTCGCCTGTGGCCCTGCAGCCCTAGCGATGCCATGGTGGTCCCCAGCCAGGCCGCCAGGCCGCCCCTCCTGCCGGCCTCCAGGCCCGGGACCCCTCCCCCGCGACCCCTCCGCCGACCCCGTGTCATGACCCCACACTTAGAGTGTCCAATTTCAATTATATCTCGAAACTGGGAAAAAATAAGGCCTTCCCTTTTTTCATTTGAATATCAATGATTAAACGGCAACGCGGAGGAGAGGGTTTAAGTGCGCGTGAGGCTGGAGACCCCACGCCCCCGGTCTTCTAAGGAAGCCTAACTCAGGACTCCTCCTCTTCCCTCTGAGCATGCGCGAAGCACCATCGGCCACGCCCACAGCCCCCGTAGGAGCCAATCCACAGCCGAGGAGCGGTTGATTGGCATTCAGCGGGAAAGACCCCGGATCCCGATTGGACACGCCCTCTTGTGGGCGGGCCTACAGGACCGGAATCCGGAAGCGTGGCGGTGCTGCTCCGGCCCTGGAGCGGGTCGTGCGGGGAGAGAGCGGGGGCCCGGGATCGCCATGGCGGCGCTGCGGAGGCACGGTACGCTGGGAGGCGGCCTGCGGGCGGGGGCGGCGGGGGGCAGGGGGGCAGGGGCAGCGGAGCCCCCAGGCCCTGCTCTCGGACCCGGCCCGGACCCGGGACCCCTGGGCCACCGTCCTCCCGGACGGGGGGGCCCTGTCCTCCCCCCCACCCCCCGCCAGGACCCAGGGCGCTGTCCTCCCCCTGCCCCCCCCCGGGACCCAGGGCGCTGTCCTCCCCCCACCCCCCGCCAGGACCCAGGGCGCTGTCCTCCCCCTGCCCCCCCCCCGGGGACCCAGGGCGCTGTCCTCCCCCCCACCCCCCGCCAGGACCCAGGGCGCTGTCCTCCCCCTGCCCCCCCCTGGGACCCAGGGCGCTGTCCTCCCCCCCACCCCCCTCCAGGACCCAGGGCGCTGTCCTCCCCACCCCCGCGGGACCCAGGGCGCTGTCCTCCCCCCTCCCCCGGGACCCAGGGTGCTGTCCCCCCCCCCCGCGGGACCCAGGGCGCTGTCCTCCCCCGGCCCCCCCCCCACCCAGGGCACTGTCCTCCCCCGGCCCCCCCCCCCACCCAGGGCGCTGTCCTCCCCCATCCCCACCCCCACTCCCAGCCCGCGGACCCAGGGCCCTGTCCTCCCCCTGCCAGGACTCAGGACCCTGTTTACCCCCTCCCCCCAGGACCCCAGAGCCCTGCCCATCTCCACCAGGACCCTGGACCCCAACTCGCCTCCTACCAGGACCTCAGAACCCTGTCCCATCTCCCACTAGGACTCCAGCCCACCTTCCACCTGGACCCCAGACCCAGGCAGGTGTTGGCACTTAAGGCAGGAGGACCTCCAGGGCCCCAGGTATCTCTGGGACCTGCATCCCAGCCCTGGGTGTCCAGGGGCCTTAGGCGGAGGTGACAAGGCCTGTGAGACCCTGAAGGAGCAGGAACCCCTTTCCATGAGTGAATATGGGATTTGTGGGTCCAGGCCGGTCCCCCAAACCAGTGCAGGGACCTGCAGCTTGTACTGGAGCAGTACACTTTGTGACAGGTGTTCCCCCTTGGAACAGGTCAGAGGCCTCTCTGAGCCTCATTTTCTTCATCCGTACAATGGATATGATAGTCTGCTTTATAACCAGCACCGAAGGGGTGGAACGCATTTCATTGGTTAACATTTTGGTGCCTTAGAATCCAACATCAGAAGATGCAGGGGACTCCCATCTCACATAAGGTGCAACTAAATCTTGTTCCCACTCAATCATCGGCACTCAAGTGAAAAGTGAGAAGGTTTTATGTTTGCTGTTTAATTGAGGTATGATTGACATTCAACCCTGTATAAGCTTAAGACCTGTAGCATCAGGACCTGACACGCACGTGCGCCACAAAATGATCACCACACAGAGTTAACATCCATCACCTCATATGGTCACAGACCACGTTTTTCCTTGTGGTGAGAACCTTAGGACTTGCTGTCTTACGAACTTTCACATGGAGCGCAAGGCCGTGTAGGCTGGGCCAGCATGCTGGACATCACGTCCCAGGACTCATTAATCCTGTAGCTGGGAGTCTGTACCTATAGGCCACCTTCCTCCACCCTCTCACTTCTGTAAACCATGAATCTGTTTTCCGTATCCACGCATCCAGCGGTTTTTAGATGCCACATATAAGTGGGGTCATATGGTATTTGTCTTTGTTTGACGTATTTCATCTAGCGTGAGGCTCTCAAGGTCCACCTATGTGGTTGCAAATGGCAAGATCACCTTTCTTAATGGTTCAATATACCATTGTGTATATACACTACAACATCTTTATTCATCCATCCTGGATGGACCCCTAGGCTGTTCCAGGCCTTAGCTATTGTAATAGTGCACCAGTGAACATGAGGGTGCAGATACCTCTTTGAGCTCCAGATTTCATTTCCTCTGAATAAATATTCAAAAGTGCAGTTGCTGGGTTGTAGAGAAGCTCTATGTTCAACTTCTTGAGGACCCTCCACACTGTTCTCCAGAGTGGCTGCACCAGCTTGCATTCCCACCTACAGTGTAAAAGGGCTCTCCTTTCTCCACGTCCTTGCCAACATTTGTCATTTTTTGCCTTTTTGATTATTGCCATTCTAACAGGTGTGAGGTTATTTCTCACTGTGGTTTGGATTTGCATTTCCCTGGTGACTAGTGGTGTTGAACATCTTTTTATGTGTCTATTGGCCATCTGGATGTCTTCTCTAAAAGAATTTCTATTCAGATCCTCTGCCCGTTTTCTAATTAGCTTGGTATTTTGTTGTTGAGTTGTGTACATTTTTCATCTATATTGGGTGTGAATGCCTTCTAGGTGTGTGACTGGCAGATGTCTACTCCCGGTCCCCAGGCTTCCTCGTCCTGTTGATGGGTTTGTCTGCTGTGTGGAAGCCTGTGGCTTGATGTGTCCCAATTGTGGATTTCCACTTTTCTTCCTTATGCTTTAGGTGTCCTGTCCTAATATCATCACCAGGACCCATATCGAGAAGCTCTTTCCCTGTGTTGTCTTCTAGGAGTTTTATGGTTTCGGGTAAAAGCGAAGGTTTTGATACATTTCTTATGTTATTTGGATTGGTTCAGGCTGTGGTTTTCTTTTTTCTTTTAAAATGGATGATTGTGGGGGATCCCTGGGTGGCGCAGCGGTTTAGCGCCTGCCTTTGGCCCAGGGCGCGATCCTGGAGACCCGGGATCGAATCCCACATCGGGCTCCCGGTGCATGGAGCCTGCTTCTCCCTCTGCCTGTGTCTCTGCCTCTCTCTCTCTCATTCTATGTGACTATCATAAATAAATAAAAATTAAAAAAAAATTAAAAAAAATGGATGATTGTGGTTTTGCCCTTTGAAATGAGAAGTCAAATATCCATTTTAGTTAATAAGCACTTGCATAAAATATGAAAAAGTAACTAATTTCTCAACCAGGCAGAGTATGGAATCAGTAAATAGAGTCCCCATCTCTGTGGCTTCCTTTATAGGAAAGCACTGTGGGTGCCTCCCTCTTGCTCTCATCCCACTGAGTCTTGACTTCACTTAGTGAGCTTTAAACACAGATCATCATAGGTTAAAATGGCTTAATTTCTAACCAGTCAGATATTAGTCTCCAAAATGAACATTAAAACATCTTAATGAGTGCTCACACCACTGTTTTTACACACACGCACACACGCCAGAAGGAGTGAAGACTCTGTGGGATGGCTGTCAAGCCCCCAGTGTTTCTTCTCTGTCACACTGGGGCCCTTCCTGTTGTGCACATCCCACATGTTGTCATGACCCTTCTAAGCCTCACACTGAGTGCCCTTCCCCCTGCAAGATGTCGGGTCATCTTAGTGCACCTAGTGAACTTGTAAAAAGCTTTCTCTGCTCACCAAATTAAGATGGATGAAACCCTGCATTGTTTTACTCATTTAGGAGCCTTCTTCTCTAAAAAAGGCCTCCTTCCCCTGGGGGATAGGTGATAAAATTGTCAGAGTGAGGTTTTAAGACACTGCAGTCAGAAGGATGGATTAGAAAACCTTGGAAGTGTAAAATTTAAGTGGGAAGCAAAATACTAGTTTTGTGAGTCTTTTTAACAAGATCACTGAAGAGCATGTCTCTGGGACAACATTCTGCTTCCAGAAACACTGGGAGATTGCAGTTGGAAAAGTCTGAACATTCGTAACTTATTGAAGCCCATGGTTTGGGAACCGTGCGGCAGAGAGGGCCGTGGCTGGTGCAGACTTGCCCTCACAGTTCTGCTCTCCTGCCGCCCAGTGCCTCTTCAAAGACATCGGGTCGCATGCAGAACTCGCACTTAACACTCCCTCCCTCAGCAAACGGTCACGGAGTCTGCTGAGCGTGTGTGACCTCTTCATGCCCTGGGAACACAGCAGGGACTTGGACGCTTTGGCTCTAGCTAGGCAGGTTCCAGGCTATTCCTTCAGGCTAGAGTCACTGCCGTGGCTGAGCCACATCCCAGGAAAAAGATACTCCGCTCTGGCATGACGAGGGCAGGCTGGCATTCCGTCTGAAGCTGTGACAGCAGCCGGCTTCCCTGGGAGCAGAGTGCTCCCCCTAGATCGTGTATCTTTCTGATGCATCCATCTCCTCTGAGACAATTTGTAGGATTCATGGGGAGGATATTTTGCCTTTGCAGCAATACTACTTGAGTAAGAAGCAAAAAAATTTTTTTAATGTGCTGTATTTTATGTGGAGAAATGTATGAACGGTACTAGCAGATGTCTCCTGGACAAGCCTGTGAGTTAGCAGGCAGGCCATGAAGTGAACAGCCCTCCGGGACTGAAGCAACTCACAGGAAGGCCCCCATGTCCTAAGTGGTGGGGAAGTGGTTTCCTTCCCTCTGGGGGAGGTGGGCGAATATCCAGCGCTTACTGGAGTGCTGACTCAGGTGGGGACTGGCTGTGCTCATGCTCACGGGAGCAGAGGTGGGGACAGCCTGCAGCAGCAGGACAGCATCCGGAAGGAGAAGGATGGCCAGATGGTCTGGGTCGGCCCCAGGGCCAGCTCTTTGGGGAGGGGCACTCCCAGGGAAGAAGCAGGCTGCAGGAGGGTCTGGTCCCCATCTCACAGGCTGCTGGCCTCAGTAGCTGCACAGTTAAGTCTTCAAACGAGTTCCCAGGTATAGTGTCCAGCCACCTTCCTCCCAGGCACCTCCCCAGGCCACCTGCCCAGACCTATCCTCCTGTAGTGGGAGCATAGTACTTCTTGAAGTAACCCATCCATTTTGAGGAACGCTGCCCGCCCTACTTCTCCTTGGGTGTGGTTTTGCTGGAGCACGTAAGGGGAGTCTGGTAGCTTGTCCCACAATGCCTCCTCTGCCTCCTCAGAGGCTGGAGTACCTCGTCCTCCCTGCTTCCCAGCCGCTGCTACGGGATGCTCTGCACGCTCCGGAATGCCTCTCCCGGGAGGCATGCTCCATCTGGCTTCCAAAACAGAGGATACCTAACTGCAGGCAGGCCAGCCTGCTGAGAGTGTGGGCTCCGTCCCCGGCCAGGAGGGACATGCTCGCCTCTGGTCCGCCGTCTGCACTGT